GGGCTGCAACCCGGTAAAAGTGAAGAAGACAATAGATAGACATACTGGACAAAGAAGAGGAGAAATACTGACATCCTGAAAGATCTGAACATCAAGATAGATTGGCTAATACACAGCATCCTGTCTCGGAAGCTGAAATATTTTGGTCATATCAAGCACCACGACGGATGGGACAAAATAATAGCGGAAGGCATGGTACCAGGAAGGAGGGCAGGGGCCGACCAACACGAAGATGGGCATAGCATATAAGTGACTCCCTGAGTATGAAAGTACATGATACGGGAGAGCTGGTGAGAGACCGAGTTTCTTTCAGGCAGACCGTGATGAGTGCGACATTCTGCAAAGGACCTGCTACATGATGATGATGACATACACTGTATACTTCTTCTGGCATCTGCTCCCTTTGGAGTCTCATCCGGCTATGGGCTCTTGCAGTCACTTGGTGTTACTCTTCTTATCCTGGAGGAGCAGTTTTTGTTTTTTTCCTCTTCTACCTCTATCCCCTGTTGCAGCAAACACTCTCAACCATCTTGTCTTAAAATTCTGGCCTTTTTCTGTGTTCACCCTTGAAAAAGTGGTTGGTAAGTTGTGTTGTGGTTTACAGCTAGGCTGCAGTATCTTCACCTCTTGGCTTAACAGATCCAATTTCAGTAAACCCATAATTAGTCGCCTTTTATGATGTGCTTATTGCGTGTGTGGAGAAAAGAGGGAGGGGGGGGGGGGGCGCGGCGACTGCACAGTGGGTTTATTATCTCTAACTCCTAAAATGGGAACTCGAAACCCATATAGGGGGGAATTTTCTATCTCTTGTATTCTTTGATAATTTCCATATTTTACTCATCTGTCTATCATTCATTGCTTTCTTTTTTGGTGGTAACGCCTCCTGTGTTTACACTTATTGTGTCGATTTTAGAAGCAGGAATGCCTAAGTGGGTTTGGGAGATCCAATTTAGGGGCAAACAGAATAAAACTAACTCCTCTCCCCAGCATGTCATAAGTAAAAGTAAAAAGTAAAGATCCCTTTTCCCGCCTTTCGGTGCATCGGGCATGTCATAAGTTCGGACTAATTAGGGGTGTTCTCCTTTGGAGTCAGAGTTCATCTGTCTGAGAGGCAAGAAACAAACAGTCTGCACAAAAACAAGCCAGATCTGTAAAACAGATGTGCATGCAAAACTCAAGTTCTGAAACAGAATCAATGTTCATAAGTGGACAAACAAATAGAACTTTCCGCAGAGTTTACAGGCGGTGTATGCTAAGAAGAGGCATGACAAGTTAATCTATCAAGAAATGTTCTCAGTGAGTGTCTTATCAGATAATAGGAAGAACTAAACTGAGGTAAACATATAATGCTGTACTTCTCCCTTCACATCACATTGCTAGTATCTGCCAAAGAATTACTTTGCGCAATATAAGAATTCATAGCTGCAGTTGAAACTGTAGCATTCAACTACTTTCTTCTCAGTCATTTCTCTTCAGATTGTGTCATTCTGTGTAAGGTTAGCTGTGGATGTGCACCAATTTGGAAAGTTTATTTTAATTCTTCATCAGTGTGATCAATATTTGTTTTGCATCTTATTCAGGCATGGGGCCTGATAGTTAGTCAACAGATTATCCTCACTGCACCTCGAACCACTCAGTCCATAAGTGCTTGGATCCCCTCCTCAGTAAATCCTGCAGCGTGTAGCGGCTAACGACACCAGTTCTGTGTTGGTTTATTATTCTTTTTTGGCTACCCGAGTAGTGTTCTTGTTTGACGACACCCCGGTTAACATGTTGTTCTTGCAATCTGACCATGGTTGTAGATTCACAGTTCTCAGTTGGTTCATGCAAACGTCTTAACTCTCTTAGAGCATTTAGTAGATCAGCCTGGTCCATGGCTTGTCCGGCTTTCAGTAGCTTCACCTGCAAGCCTATCAGCTTGCTAATTTCCTTGTACTCCCACATATCCTGGCACGAAAATGAAACTAATCCTTGTCAGCCGTGAATGCTGTAGAGCCAACAACCACTGCCTTCGGACCCAGCCCTTCTCTATCTTCCTGAACATACTCATCGAGTCACTGAGAAAGCATGCTCCAGTAAAAGTCTGTGTCTCTAGCCATGTTACTGCTTAAGTCACCTCCATAGTCAGACTCTTTGTAGTTACGGCAAAAGCTCCAGAATCTTCCTTCACAACTCTCCCTCTTAACTGAGCCGTGAAAGCCCACGAGCTTCTAACGTGGCGGATTACAGAACCATCTGTGTAAATGACAGCATAACCCTCTAGAGCGTTCTCAAAAATCAAGGCTTGAACTTCTGCTTCCACAGCAGCCGGACTCTGTTGACTGCATTTTCTGTCTAGTTGGATGCAAACAGAAAAAGAGTGTATATATGCACTCTGAAGGCACTTGCGCCCACTCCTCGCCGGGTTCTATGTCCTCAAGTGAACATACCTGTAAAATAACATCCTTGGCTTGACCCATCCACGATTTGCCTCTTTTTAACTTGCTGCCTTTTATCTTCTTGATTTGACTATGTAATGGATGTTGTGTGTCTGCCTTGACTGTGAGGTAGGCACGAGCTTGGGAAATTTGTATTCTGTCTTCCATGGTCAGAAAATCGAGAAGGTAGCGCATCGCCCTGCATGATGTATCTCTTGTACACCCAAGTATAATGCGTTCTGTATCCTTTCCATCTGCTGATGGCTGAGAGTCAGGATCACCATCGCGTATTCAAAAACGGACGGAAAGGACCAGACCCCGGTAAAGAAGACATAGATGACGCTGCTCACAGTTTGCCGCCACCATCACTCTCATCGCAGCCAGACCCCACTTGGCTTTCTTTAAAATCCAATCTATGTGCTCAGTATAAGCAAGGCTTTGATCAAAATGTATCTCCATGTATTTCATTGCATTCGTTCTTTCCACAACCTCAGAACACAGACTAACAACTGGTGTTGGAGTTTTCACATATGGTTATTTAAAGAGAAACCATTGTCACTACCGCCTTTTGGTGGGTTGACCAGTGCACCAGCTTCACCACACCAAGTGCTTATGTGATTGGGCTCTTTTTGAAGTTCTTCAGCAACCTTCACTCTATCCTTACCCTGACGATACACTAACACATCGTCAACATATGACATTGTTTTTTCGGGTCCTGTGATTTGCTCGCCTGTGATTCTCACTTTGTAAACGTTGAACAACACAGGAGATAATGTGGCAGGCCGGGATGTATTACTGTTGGTTCAGAAATCCAGCTGCCACATCTGAACACTACTTTTCGTTGAAAGAGGGCAGAAGAGATCCAGTGAAGCAGGAATGTACCTATCTGGAGTTCAAGAAGCTGAGACATTAAGAAATCCAAAGGTACTCTGGGTTACGCATCCTCGAGATCAATTACCGCAGCACACATTTCAATACTTGAGTGGTAGCCTTCATACACATCATGAGCAAAAACCGCAGCATTGGTCCATGTTTCTTCTTCCAAGGGTATTTGGAAGAGGACCTCGCCTCTCAAGATGGTGTGAAAATTTTCTCCAATTATCTTTTCTAACAGCTTGCTTACAGTATTTTGAACAGTGATTATCTGATATCCCAGAATTTTTGTGTGATCTTTGCCAGGTTTTGGCAGGGGTATCAGATAGCTGTGTAACCACTCTTCACTGATACTAGCATGTGATAGAGGGTGCAGTGTCCAGAAAATGAGGCAGAAGGTGGATACAGGACACTGAAGATGCAGGCTATAAAAGCTCACAGCTGGAGAACTGGCCAGAGAAAGAGACTTTTTGGCGGGCCAGGATGACAGTGACGTTCTGTAGAGGACCTGCTGATTGACAATGATACTAACTTTGGGAGCTACAGCTGCAGCAGCACAATGGCTAATACTCTTGCCTGTTGGGGTCACAGGTTCAATCAACCATCAGTTTGAGTTTTTAAGCCAGATCCAGCCTAAATATGGACGCTAGGAAATGTTTTAGGAAGTCAAGGAAATATGGGTCGTCCAGCATCACATGCCTAACATACATTATGGTAGAGAAGCAGATCTTTTACTTAATTAACTTATATTAACTTTCAAAAACATTAAAACTCTGACTTCTCTCGGGGGTACTTACAAATCATGTACAGGTGACTCACTGGTAAAAAAAAAAAAAATTATGTGGAAGATTAGGATATCAAGGGTTTACAGCAAATACAAGAAAATCACAGACCGATAAAAAGTGTTAGGGAATTGTCTTGAAAGAAATTAACTCCAGATAACAAGTGTAATGAAGATGTCTAGAAAGAAATTAACCCCAGATTAAAAGTGTAATGAAGATGTCCTGAAAGAAATTAACTCTAGACAACAAGTGCAATGAAGAGGTCTTGAAAGAAATTAATTCCAGACAACAAGTGTAATAAAGATGACTACAGATAAAAAGTTTAATGAAAATGTCTTGAAAAATTAACCCCACACAACAAGTGCAATGAAGATGTCTTGAAAGGAATTAACTGCAGACAACAAGTGTAATGAAGATGTCCTGAAAGAAATTAACTCTAGACAACAAGTGTAATGAAGATGTCTTGAAAGGAATTAACTCCAGACAACAAGTGTAATGAAGATGTCTTGAAAGAAATTAACTCTAGACAACAAGTGTAATGAAGATGTCTTGAAAGGAATTAACTCCAGACAACAAGTGTAATGAAGATGTCTTGAAAGAAATTAACTCTAGACAACAAGTGTAATGAAGATGTCTTGAAAGGAATTAACTCCAGACAACAAGTGTAATGAAGATGTCTTGAAAGGAATTAACTCCAGACAACAAGTGTAATGAAGATGTCTTGAAAGGAATTAACTCCAGACAACAAGTGTAATGAAGATGTCTTGAAAGGAATTAACTGCAGACAACAAGTCTAATGAAGATGTCTTGAAAGGAATTAACTGCAGACAACAAGTGTAATGAAGATGTCTTGAAATAAATTAACTAAATAAATTAACTCCAGATAACAAGTGTAACGATTCTGGACTTTGCGAAGAAGTCTACTCACATGCTCTGCCAGTCTCTCCTGCAAAGCTCTCAGCTGTTCCTCCCTGTTCCTCAGAGCATTCTCCATCTTCTGAATAAGCTGCTCCTGGAGGTCATCAGTTGTGGATCCTCTGTTCTCACCAGACTGGCACACTTCATCAATGTGGTAGGCCTGATAAATGAATGTCAAACATTGAGCTGACACATACATAAAACAGGACAGTCATCCCATCCTTAATGAGCAGATTGACAAAGAGAGTTTGAGAAAACAGAAAGCTCACAAATAAAACAAAAACCCTTGTTTATCAGGCTTGCGTTCTCAACATTCTGCTTTTTGGCAGTGAAACCTGGTCAACATATGTGCACCAGGAGAGACGGCTTAATAGCTTTCACAGGCAATGTCTAAGAAAAATACTTGGCATTAAGTGGCAGGACAAAATCACAAACACTGAGGTACTGGAAAGAGCAGGTACTACAACAGTCTTTTCCATGCTCAGTCTACGAAGGCTCAGGTGGCTGGGTCACACCTGGAGAATGGAGAATGGCAGAGTCCCTAAGGACATCCTTTATGGTGAATTAAAAAAAACAGGAAGAAGATGTCAAGGCCGACCTCTACTATGATATAAAGATGTGTGCAAACAGGACATGAATGATACAGGTATTGAGGCGGACTCATAGGAACAAAATGCCATGGAACACGTTGTGTGGAAAGGGCATATCAGGAAGGAAATTAGAATGAAGGAAGAAATGATTGCAGAAATGATGAGAGCTGAGCTTCTGAAAAGAAACAGATTAAACACAAATGTTGACAACAACAATGGCCTGAAATCCCATGCTATCATTGTGGAAGACTTTTCTTGACACGGGCGAGTCTTGCTAGTCACACTCGCCATCGCCATGGGCTGTGAGTCTCATGCCTCCTCATAGCGCAATTTAACAATATCGTCTGGAAAGGTGCCAATGTTTACCAGCTACACATAGATTCCCCTAAGTTGATAGCATGATACAATAAGCACATCTCACCGGTTGGGCAGCAAATTTAAAACATTTTAATGACAAAAATAAAGGTACAAACAGTACATATTTTGGTCAAAAACCAGAATTAAAACATGACAAAATGATAGAATGGAGAAAAAAAAAAATACTGTAAAATTATAAATACTACTGGTTGCATTGTAAAACATGTTAATGATAAAATGAAGGTAAAAATAACATATTCTACTGATAACAAAACAGTTTTACAAGATTTTAACGATAATATTAAGGTAAAATAGTACAACTTACAGGTGAGAAAGCAGAGTATGTAAGAGTCATGGACTTAAAACCATGTAATGATATAATGAAAATAAAGTAAAACATTTACTCCTGTTGAGAAAAATAAAAACATACACACAATGAAATATTAAATGCCGTTAAATGGGGATCATGTGAGAAGGCAGACATGACCCCATATGCTTATCGACAGGGCACATGATGATGACAAAACAAAGTAAGATTTAAAATTTTACTGATGCAGTAAAAAACAGTGATACGTTTTACTGATTCTTCTTCTTAGCATTTACCGGCTATGAACTCTGGCAGAATGTTTCCGCTGTTCTAGACTTTGCTCTTGATCCAGAACCTGAGTTTTGCATGTACGTCTGCATTACATATCTGGCTTATTTGTATACATACTGTTGGTTCCTTGCCTTGCATGCTGATGCACTCCGACTTCGAAGGAAACACCGCTAATTAGTTGCTTCCTACAACATGCTTGTTAGAGAGGTAGTAGGCCTGTTCTTAGTTCTCCAAAATTGGGCCCCGGAACCCACACAGTGACTACTGATTAAACACGTGACTACTGATTCAACATTGCAACTACAAATTCAACATTGCAACTACTTATTCAACATGTGACTAACTGATTCAACACTGTGACTAACTGATTCAACACTGTGACTAACTGATTCAACACTGTGACTAACTGATTCAACACTGTGACTATTGATTTAACATGTGACTATTGATTTAACACGTGACTACTAATTCAACACTATGACTACAAATTCAACATTGCGACTACTTATTCAACACTGTCACTGATTCAACACTGCAACTATTAATTCAACACTGCAACTACTGATTCAACACTGTGACTATTGATTTAACATGTGACTACTAATTCAACATGTGACTACCTGATTCAACACTGTGGCTACTGATTCAACACTGTGGCTACTGATTCAACACTGTGACTACTGATTCAACACTATGACTACTAATTCAAAATTGTGACTACTTATTCAACACTGTGACTAACTGATTCAACACTGCAACTATTGATTCAACACTGCAACTATTGATTCAACACTGCAACTATTCATTCAGCACTGTGACTACTGATTGAACACTGTGACTACTGATTTAACACTGTGACTACTGATTTAACACTGTGACTACTGATTCAAAATGTGATTATTGATTCAACATGTCACTAACCGATTCAACATGTGACTACTGATTCAACACTTGACTACTGATTCAACACTTGACTACTGATCCAACAGTGACTACTGATCCAACAGTGACTACTGATTCAACATATGATCAGTGATTCAACTCCCTGACTGCTGATTCAACACTGTGACTACTGATTCAAAATGTGATTATTGATTCAACATGTGACTACTGATTCAACGCACATTTACAAAAAAAACATATTTTACACCGCTAAATACAGGTAAAACAAAAAAAAATTTCACCGGCAGGAGAAGAATTGATAAAGCACTCACATGCTCTTGTAATTTGGCAAGCATACTCTTCAGCTGGCTCTGACGATTTTCTTCATAGACTTCCATCTTCTGGGACAGTTTCATCTCAGACTTGGCCTCAAATGATCTGACCATTTCCTCACCAGCTCTCTGGACTTCCTGCACTTTTTGTGACTGGGGACAGCAAATCATTGGATGTGGAAGATAGATTATGATTAAAATTAACTGCACAGATATTGCAGTACTGACATTAATTAGAGTGATTAAAAAAAACATACATATAATGTCAGAGAGGAAAGGGAAAAAAAAAAAATTATACATAAAAGCCAAAATAATGCAAGGGGGTCGCAAACAACATACTGGTTATATTTGCCTTTTGACTAGAAGTTCTTTGGTTCAAGTCCGTACTCAATAGATGGGGGGCGGGGGGGCTGACCACTTACTGATAACATGGGCATATGAAACCAATTGCAAAGATGAAGAAGAGTAGGAGAATATTTATGTTAGAAGAGTTGGGGCCTCATAACCTAATATTACCAAAGACAACAGGGGGTATACTGTAGCCAACTGTATTTATGGAAATGGCTTAGTATTCTTTGGTAACATGTGACAGATTATCTTTTTTTTTTTTTTTTTTTCACAGCTACTAATGGAAGTAGTCTTTTTGTGCATTATCTGTTTGTGAAATTCATTTAAAAATAATATATAATTTAGAACAAACAAAAAAGAAAGTACAAAATTTATTAAAGTGTTCTTCCCTGAATACTTTAGTCTTTACAATATAAGTTAACATTATAGCAGCTTTCAGCTGTTAAAACAGGCTTACAATGTATAGAGAAAATTTTGGCCAAACAAGATCAAAAGCAAACAGAATCAAATGAAGAAGTCAGAGATGGCTTGGGTGTATCTGGACAATGCCTCACAGCAGTCTGGCACATACAACTAACCAGTGGATGACAGACAGAACAAGGAGACGTGAACAACCTAAGGGAACCCAGAGAGCAGCAGCAGAAAGGGGAATAAAGGAATTTCAACTGAGTTTGGGATACCTTGGGCTAAAAGCAGCAGACTGGCAGCACTGGAAAATCCAATCCCCTGTGAATGCCTTATTTGCCAACAATGAGAGGGAGAGGGTAGAGAGAAAGAAAATAAATGGTACAAAGCCACTACAAGGCTTACAGGTTCAAAAGGCTACCACAAAGGAAAAAAAACCACTCCTTTTTCCTCAAAAGGAAACAAATTTGGGCACTCACAAACACAACTGATCGAGAAAACAGATGCAAACTATGGCCAATTCTTGAAGTTTGTGGTATTCAAGATCAACTGTTAGGTAACATCATGGCTCTTTACTAAGATAGTCAGTGCACAGTAAGAACAACAGAAGGAATGACAGACTGGTTTCCCATCTTATCATGTGTCAGATAGGAATGTTTAACAGGCTCCAAATCATCAATGAGCAGCACTGATATGAAATCAACTACAGAAGGAGAAATGAATAGACTTTATCCACACCAAAGCTGGATTCGAGTATATACAGATGGTTCAGCCAAGACAGCAGTAAGAGACGGAGGAGGAGGAATATACAGATTGCCCAAAAGGTATCGACAGTATATGCAAGAATGCCAAGCCCATGAATGAAAATGTTAGTAAGATCAACGAATTACTCTTTGCAGATGACCAGGCCTTGATAGCAGATTCAGCCATGAAATTGCAACAACATCTAACATACATGAATGAAGAATGTAAAAACCCAAAAGATATGAGAATCTACACTGAAAAAGCAACAAGTAATGTCAATAGGAAAAAAGAAGGCAGATCTAAACATAGCAATAGCGTGTAAAGGCATTAAACAGGCATCTGAGTTTAAATATCTGGGACACTACATTTACCAGAAGATGGGAAATTGGATAAAGAAATTAACATTAGATGCAGTAAAGCAAAAAACAAGTATTGGGACAGCTAATCTAGTATCCCCCCCCCCCCCCCCCCCCCCCCCCCCTAGAGAGGGACAGTGTATTATATTCAGACTAAGACAAACCCAATCAGCACAAAGAGACATCTTATTCAAAGCATATTTATTCCAACTCTGTGCTACCAGTGCCAGACATGGTCACTCACAACAAACCATAAAAGAAAATTAGTAACCATGGAAATGAGATGTCTGAGAAGGGCTGTAGGAGTGACCATAAGAGATAAGATCAGGAATGAGATCATAAGAGAAACAGTATGTATTCAAGAGAATGAGATCTGTAAAACTGATGCACACGCAACACTCAGGTTCTGGAGCAGGACTGCAGTTCAGTAGTGGACGAGCAACCAGAACCTTCCGCCAGAGTTTACAGCTGGTGAACGTGAAGAAGAAGAAGAAGAAGAAGAAGAAGAATAAGAGAAAAAGTCGGCACAGAACCAATTCTAAATTACATACGAAGACAGCAAGTGAAATGGTTTGCTCACTTAGAGAGAATGCCTTGTGACACCATACCATACAAAGCATACATGGAAAGAGAAGAAGGACGTAGAGCACGAGGCAGACCAAGAACAAGATGGAAGGATAACATCAGAGAAACTCTACAGCAGCACAATGTGCCTATGGTCGAGGCGGCCAGAAGAGCTAGAAACAGAACCTTATATCTCCCTCGACACCCACAGCGGTAAAGGAGGAAGTGAAGAAGAAGAAGAAGCCCAAAAGGTTTGAAAATCAACCAGGCTGTACCAACAGGTTCATATTCCTCCAATTACAGAGCAGAGGCAGAAGCACTTCTGGCGGCATGTTCTTTCCTGAATGGACAACAGCACAGCAAATATAGCAGAGTGGTCTTTCTGACTGATGCTATGTCAGTTTTACATGCAATTGTTAACCCGAAAGACACTCAGTTTGTAGACATGACGCAACAGCTGATTTACTTAGGCTCTTCAGTAGAACAATCTCTACTGCAGTGGATTCCAGGTCACTGTGGCTTGGAAGGCAATGAAATAGCGGACAGATTGGCCAGAAGCGGCAGTGATATGGTACAACCAAATAGTGACTTAACCCACCAAGAGACGAAAACATTAATACAATCTAGTATCCAAGGAAGGTGGCTGGATACACACGCCAGATTTTCTCCCCAAGACTCACTTCATCGCCTCTCTAGAGAGGGATAGTGTATTATAGTCAGACTAAGGACTGGGCATAACAGACTTTGTCAACATATGTTCACATTTTTCGGTGTACTAGGCACCCGAAAATGCTGAGCATGTGTTCCAACACTGTCAACTGTATGCTGACAACAGAGATGCAATCTGGCCTGTTCCAGCCACAATGAAGACAAAGTTGTATGGTGCACTAGAGGATATGAACTGCACAATAGCTTTCATAAAGGCTACTGGCCTCCTGATATAAGTTTTCTGACAAAGGGATCGAAGAAGAAGAAGAAGAGACCAAGTCTGGATTATATCGACAGACAAAAAATGAAGTGGTTCGGCTATCTAGTAAGAATGCAACCAGACCAGAATGTATATGAGACTTTTTACAATAGAACATCTTGGAGGAGAGCAAAGAGATGGAGAAATGGTGTAGCTGAAACCTGCAAAAAGATGAACAAATCCATCACTCAAGCCACCCTAGAAGCGCGAGACAAATATAGAAAACCACGACACTGTGCTACAAACTGGTAACAGTGAGAGGACAAAATAAGAAAAATGAAGACATACATAATTAAACAATGGGTAAAATATAATGCATACATGTTCTCTCAGCCTCCCCTGTAAAGTCTTGATCTGATTCTCTCGGTTCTCCCGTCTGATCTCCATAGCTCTCTGGAGTTTCTCCTTAGTCTTCTTGCTGAATTCTTCATTGACATTCTGAGCCTTATTAACAACCTTCATGACTTTTTCTCTCTCCTTTGCAAGCTGTTCCTTTTTCTCTTGCTCAATCAACTGGCATAGAATTTTTTGAAAAACATCATTAAAAATAATGTTGATACAAAAAACTAACAGTGTAGAAAGACAGACTATTATTACACAGACTAATTTTATTTCTACAGCAGCACATTTCATTAAACTTTAGGCTAAGATAATCGACTCTTCAGTCCTAGTTAACATGTATTATTGGCTCACCTCCTGAATTTCAAACACCAAGTTCTATTTTCTCTAACTTTTCACCTTTTGATCATCTAAAAACACCTGGGTTTCTCACTGGTCACTCTGAAAAACTATGCTACCTTTGATTTTTTTTACGTGACTGTCACTTTAAACATCTGCTTGACAAACTTTAAGGGACTGAAAGGGTTAATAATTAGACACAGCCACAGAAACCCTCCGGCGCGATGCTGATCACATCACTGACCAACTGCTGATTGGTCTATAAAATATAGGTCTGGCCCTATTTGCCTGAAGGTGCGGGAAAAGCTCTGTTACTTTGTGTTTTAAAAATATTTTTTCAAGAGACCCTGTGCTGGGATCAGTTGCTGTAGGCTGAGATGACCAGTTTCTTTCCTCAAATCTTTTCTAAACTCCAGCACATTTGCAATTTTGACTTTCGACAATATGCAAATTCAAAATACAAGATCAATGGGGTGTCCATGATGAAACTTGAGGACATAGCCATTCGCTTTAAACAGATGATCTATATCTGCAATGTTGTCTCTAGTATGAGCTTTGCTATCTTCTATAAGACACTCAGCAACCCATAATGTTTGAATTTCACCAGTGTTTCTCTTGTCCAAAATTTTGTCTTCATATGTTGTATTCGGGACAGTCTTGGGGGATGGGATCTGTTGTTTTCTTCTTTTGTTGTCTCTCACTGATACCAGGTTGTAGCCCCGTGTCATGGTTTTCTGTATTTGTCTTATCAATTCTGAGTGCATGGCCGATGTAGTTCCAGCGGCACTTTCTCATAGAACTGGATACATTATCTCGCTTGGTCTCTTGTCGTATTTGTGTACTGGATCTGAAATCTGTCCAGTGGAAATTTATCCCTGATAGAAAATCCAGTCTAAACCAGAAGAAATCCAAGTGATTTCAAATGTAAATAAAGTTAAATGACACTAGACAATAATGCCATCTAATTATTACAATAACCATGCAACAAAATGGATAAAAAGTATTCCCTTCTGCTAGATAACAATAAAAAGCAATGTAAAAGCTTAAAATAATTTATCTGTATTCACCCTTCAAACAGTGGTTGGAACATTGTATTGTGGTTTACAACTATGATGGGAGCCACCGGGGTGTAGCGGCTAGGCACTCGCCTGCGGATCAGAAGATTAAAGGTTCTGGTCCTGACAGATTTTTTCTTCAAAAACTCAATTTTTCAAAAATGACATGGGCTCCCAATTTAACCCAGCCCTGAATGGGTACGAAGTGGGGTCCTTCTAGTAAAGGTGTCCAGCATGATGCTGACCACATAACCCACTAAGTGCCCACTGGTCAATAAAATACAGATCTTGCCCTATATGCCCAATACACCTGAAGACGTGGAAAGGGCTCTTTACTTTACAGCTATGCTGTAATATCTGCACCTTCTGGCCCAACTCACCAGATTTCAGTAAAGTCTTAACCAGCCACTTTTTAGAACATGCTTATTAGGGGGCGATGGTTTATTTTTTTTCCTTTCCTAAAATGGACACCGGAACCCCACACACGGACACTGAAAATGGGACACCCCAACCCCACACAGGGACACTGAAAATAGAACACCCCAACCCCACACAGAGACACTGAAAATGGAAAACCGCAACCCCACAAAGGGACACAACACAGGGACACTGAAAATGGGACACCGGAACCCCATACAGGAACACTGAAAATGAGACACCGGAACCCCGCACAGGGACACTGAAAATGGGACACTGGAACACCACACAGGGACACTGAAAATGGGACACCGGAAACCCGCACAGGGACACTGAAAATGGGACACCGGAACCCCACACAGGTACACTAAAATGGGACATTAGAAACCCGCACAGGGACACTGAAAATGGGACATTAGAAACCCGCACAGGGACACTGAAAATGGGACACCAGAACCTCACACAGGGACACTGAAAATGGGACATCGGAACCCCACACAGGGACACTGAAACACCACACAGGAACACTGATAATACCCCCCCCCCCCCCCTTTTCCACCACATATATTTTTTTAAAGTTATGTAAAGCTTACACTTCTACGCTGTTCTGCTTTCTTCAGCTTGTTCTCAATCTGCTCCTGTGAGAGCTCTCGTCTCTTCACCTCACCAAGTGAAGAGAAGTGTATGGGTGGCTTCATGGTTTCTGCAGTAGCTGGCTTCAGGATCACATCAAAACTGATGCCATTCTTTTTGGCTTTCTGGTTTTCTGCAAGCATTTGTTGTGATAAATTTTAAGTCATGCAATGCTTAATTTACCATCTGTTGTTATATACACAGGTGTGTGTGTGTGTGTGTGTGGTGGTGGGGGGAGGCCACAGAAATTTTTCGTTATTTGAAGCCCTACTCTGGCTACTGCCAGGGGCCGCAATAAAGCCCGGGAAAAAATATGGCCTAATGGCTGAACGCGGTTTCTGGGACCTCCCTAAAGATGATTCTCATCCACATGGTGGCACTTTGTGTCATCGGGTGTTTATCGCTTGTGTGATGTCCTTGTGGGGTAGAAAGTCAGTCAGGACTACTGTAAGAGACACTTTGTGGTGAGTACCAGCATTTTTTTGTCTAGGAAAATTAAGCCTTGTATATTTGAATTTAAAAGATCTGAACATCAAGGAAGATTGGCTAATAAACAGCACCTTGTCTGGAAAGTTGAAATATTTTCATCATTTCAAGCGCCATGGTGGATTGGAGAAAAAAAAATTATAGTAGAAGGCTTGGTACCCGGAAGGAGGGGCACAGACCGACCAGCATGAAGATGGGCACAGGATATAAGTGACTCCTTGAATATGAAAGTACACGAGGCAGGAGAGCTGGCAGGAGGCAGAGTTTCTTTCAGGCAGACCGTGATTAGAGCAACGTTCTGCAAAAGACCTGCTATATGATGATGAAGATATATAAGTTTACACAGGGGCTGTCTTAACAGCCATTTTAGCCCCAGAGCAAAGCAGTGCCTACACAACCACTCCCTGTCAAATAACCCCACTGCTCAGATACCTAAAGGTCTCCCTTCTAGCAAAACAGCAAATGGTTAATAGCATCTGAATTCCTACTTTACATTATCAGTGCCAAACATTTACAGTGAGTAGAGCACAGAAACAACAGCATTACAGAGAAGGTTGAAACAAGACTTTGAATTATAGTGAAAGATAGAGAATGAAAAATGGTTTGGCCATCTAGTAAAAATGATGCAGCCTGACTAAAGTTTATCTCTTACAGAAGAACATCCAGGCAAAGGGTGAAAGGAAGATCAAGGAAATGATGAACAGATGGTACTGCTCGATCTTATACGCGCCGGCACACACAATGTGAACAAAACCATCACTCGAACCAATCAAAAAATGCAAGACACATGAAGGAAATCCTAACACTGAGCTACAACCATGTAACAGCATGACAGTAAAGGAAGAACAAGAAGCTAATGTGTACGTGCCTGTTGTAAATAACATTACCAAGACACCAGTTTAAACCCCCCAAAAAAAAAAAAAAAAAACTTCACTCTTACATTAAAGTTATTTGTAACAAAACATATCTGAACAGAAGACAGCTACAACAACCTAATGCTAAATATAACACAAAATGCGACTAGAAAGCTCAATGGAGGGATGGAAAAGACGCACACAAACACAACCAAACGTTTCGACCAGTCTTTATCAAGGGATTTCTAAATATAGCACAAACTGTGACTGGAAAAGTCAATGGACCAGACAACAGAGCTAATAAAAAAAAAAAATTTTTTTAATAAAAAACCAAGGTCAACATGAAACCAAAATTATGTAATGCTTATCTCCGTCATTCACTAACTGGTGCCTGCGCAGAATAGAGGGAATTAAATGTTATGATATAATCATTAATGTAGAGCTTTGGGAGATAACAAATTCAGTGGACTAAGAAGTGAAGAAAAGATGCTGGCATTGGATAGGACACATGGGGGCCTCAACAACGCTGAATTAAGTAAGAATTGACATCACAGTACTCTGGAAACTCTGATAAGTGCTAAATCCCCACCCTTAGCAGCAAGCAAAGGGTTCCAATTTCAATGGCACCAGTAATTGTCTGACTGTATACCATCTTGTCTATCCCTTGAGTTTCGTCCAGATCCCCTAGCAACTCATGGCGGCGCCTGTCTCCTCAGACTGTAATGTCGTAATGAGTGTCTCAACAAAGAATTGGCCAAACTGTTCACCTCATACTCAGAGATATAGAGTCATTCCCTGAGCGAGGTTCTTAGAAGATGGATATCCAAGCCATATAGGATAAAACTATGGGCTCTAAAGCAGATCCTCTTGACATTAACTACTAATTACCTGAACTCCTATGAACAAAAAACAATTAAGACTGTTGATGACAACAACAGAAACTAGTTACCTTTGCCATTCCAAACAACAACAGCATCGTAAGCCTGGTGGTTGGGATGTATGCGATGCTGGACATTTTTCTTCTTTGGTGGCTCTCGCATACACATAAAACTGAACAGGTTGCACACTGAAGAATCCAAACATGAGCAGCAATAGAAGAAATAACACAGTACATTCAATATAAAAATATTAATGAATAAAAAAATTCAAAAAAGTTTCAGGTGTACAGCAATAAAGAAGAAATATGTACAACCCTATAAAGTAACAAGAAATTGTTAATTTACAGAAAGAAATTACATAAGTTTAAACACAGCTCGCTGCATATGTTCTTCTTCTTTGCGTTAACTGGCTGTAAACTCTGATGGAAAGTTCTGGACGTGCTTCCCTCTTTGGTCAGGCAATCGTGTTAGTGTCAGAGATTCAACATTAATCCCCAACCTAGTCTGTACAATGTTGATATCAGCTCTGTCCATGCTTCTTCCTGTTTGCATTGGAGTATTACTTGCCAGCTGGTCTGCTCTTTCATTACCATTTATTCCTGCGTGCCCAGGTGTGCAGATGCAGTTGATGCTTATTTTAATGCAGACAACTTGTTCCTTGTCTCACAGGCAGATGCACTCCAACTTTGAAGGAAGGCCCTAATTAGTTAAGTCTTATGACATGCTTGTTGGGTAGGTGGTGGGTTTATTCTTGATTTTCCCCACAATGGGACCCCACAACTGACAAGGAGAACAGCATATGTTAATATTTGATGCAGTACACAAAGGCATGATTCATTACCTTTGGTAAGAGAGAATTAATTACATAAAGGCATGACTCGTTACACATGGTAAGAAAGAAGTCATCACAGATGTTGAGATATGATTCATTACACACGTTAATGTTGTGATGAGTTAAGAGCTGGCATCACAGCCAATGGGACATTTCCATATGCACTACATCTTCAGCAGCCAGTGAAAAGTTCAACTTCTAGTGGTATCAGTAACAGTCTATCAGATGCCCCTCTTGCCATTCCCCTGAGTGTACAGTATAGGTCACATATCCTGGCCACTCCTAAAGCACTAAAATTTCTGCACTATACTGATTTATTCACAAGTCCACATTTTTTCATGTGCTCGCAAATGGCCTTGACCACATCCAGCTTGTCATGCAGCAATTCACCACCCAGTGGTGGAGTACCGGCCACTCTGTCTACCTATTAGTTTCCTAACCTACCCACATCTCCTGGGAGAAAATATCCTTGGACCTCTGAAGTGATGCTTGATGCTTTTCACCATCTTTCTCAGCATGCTTTGTGTTTTCTGTAACAATAACACCATTAGTACACAGCCAGATCTAAAGCCAGCTAAAAGTTCCTGTGACTGCCTCCATCTCTCTTCTTAAACTAAATCATGTGGTATCATATCCAAGGCTTTGCTGTACTAAGTGACGTGCATTCACTTTTGCAAATAAGTGACGTCCATTTGCAATAATGAAACACATGCACTTTGTCTGCCTCTCAACACAGGCCCATCTGTTTATAATCACATCACCTAGACGGGAACTGTCATACGGTAAAGCAGAATTCATTATATATGTTGATGCCAGGTGTGCTGCAAATGTTAATGAAACTCGAAAAGTGACAGCAAAAATTAACAACATACCTAAAGGCATATGTGAAATGTCTAAATCTCATTCAATATTGTATTTCTACATTATGAGGATCTGTCCAGTAGCAGATAAGATAATACTATAATTTCCCATCTAGAGGGTGAGGTCATAACATTAACCTTTTTGTGTGTTTGTGCAAACACTTCAACTCTTTAAAGTCCCAAGGAATGGCACCTGTTGCAAAATCTTAAGCAAATAAAGAGTTAATAACCAGGCTATATTTAAGACCACAGCCCTGAAAAACAGCACTTCATTAGTTTCATTACCAAATTTTTTTTTCTTCGTAGACTAAATTCTATAGTGTATTAAAGTTTTCTTTGTAACACTAATCTCTATAGTTTATTAAAGCCAGAAATGTAGTTTCCTGTAACAGATAAATTCTTGTAACCAGTGTTCTTTTCCTTCACTAAGTTTTCTTTGTAACACTAAATTCTAGCTTAATAAAGCAAGACATGTAGTTTCCTGTAACAGGTAATTTATTGTAACCTATCACCATTCACATAAAATTTCAGGCACAGGCTACAGGCCTCTCCAGAACTACCCATTTACAAAGTTGTTTTAGGAAGGATTAGTTGCTGGTTATAGTCTGTACCAACCTGAAGACCCATCCATCATGCTCACCCTCTGCTGCGGTTGTCTCTAACGACCTTATTATTTAAGCCACTATAAAACCTGCCAAATGACTTTTTTTTAAGCCTCCCAAAATAGAAGCACATTTCTGGGTGATAGACAAAGTAACTAATGAACGCTGAAAGTGGGAGAGGGGGGGGGGGGGGGTAATGAAAGCAGAACAGCATTAGTAATTGAAAGTAAAGGACTCTCTTTTTTTTTAAAAACTCTTTAAGCTCCAGGAGGTTTAGCAACAGAGGCCCAAGGGGTAGTAAGGAGAGGTGTAAGATCAGCACATTTTGCATCCACTGGGCTTCTAGGTGGAAACCTATGAAAGCATGATGTATTCCTTGGAGCTGAAAGAGTTAATGCCAGTGGGGCATTGGGCATATGATGTCAGACTCATATTTTCAGAGACCAATCAGCCCTTGTTGGGTGATGTAGACAACAGTCATGCCGGCTGCCTTTGCTTCCTAGGGCATTACCTGATACCCATTTCAGGCTTGGTCAACCTGAGAGCAAAGATCAGTTTTGACAAAATCTACCTCAATGCAGAGTTGAACCCAAGACTTGTTCCAGCAGGCAGGCATCTAAGTAGAACCGTATACACAGCTACAATTTGTGGGTGAATGAACTGACCATGAACTGCCCTCGGACACTCTCACATGTTATCCAGTCCCCTTTTTCATTAGCAAACAAAGAGTTACCATTCTGATCTTGCAGCTATAAGAGACTTACATTATCTTTAATCATAGGATAAGAATAGGACTGGAGCACATCACGATTACCGTATTGATAGTGGCAGAAGAGGTAGACTGTGATTGCAAAATATGATGCTGGACTGTCTAACAGCATGCAGGAGTATCAGTAATAGAATATCTTCTTTGCAATCGGTGGCTCTCAAGTCAGATGGAAAGTCCTGGTTGTGCATCCACTTTTAAACCCAGGTCTTATTCCAAAATATTAGTGCTGCATGCAGACTGTTGGTTCCTCACCTCTGAGATATATGCACTCCGACTTTGAACAAAACAGTGACCCATCTATGCTGGCCAGGCTCGTTTCTAGGGTGACTAACAGAGTGGTACAGACAGATAAGGCTTGAGCAGTATCAGCTGTGGTCCTTGTGCATCACCGCATGTGGTTCAGCCCCTCTGGAACCCACCAACAGAATATAACAACACCAAGGACTGAGAAGAATAAGCAGACATGAATGCCTGCAGGAACTGACAAGACACATAATGATGATAACAGGTGGCACCCCTTAGTACGGGGCCTTGGGCTCGTCTACACAGAACAGGCATAAATGAATCTGCTACCTGAGCCTGCAGAGTGAATAGAATCCTGAATATGTGCAGGATTGCCCAATCTACTCCCAGAAGAGCTTGGGAATGTGACCCAAAGGAATTATACACAGCAAGAGAGGCTGTGGAGGTTCGGCAAGGACCTTAGGCACACCACCCAGTTTGTGACCCAGAAAGTACTGAATGTTTAGCATGGCTGATGATGCATGTTAGATGAAGCCCCAGAGAAACTATTAACTCAATATATATCTAGCAACCTACGATACACTGATCTTTTTCTTCCTCTTCTCTTCTCCACTCCCGGAAAGGCTGGTGGTGCCAGGGGAGGAAGAGATCTCTAGAACAGGGCCTTCTGTTTGCTACGTATATAGTACTTTTCAGTGTCTCTAATTAGTCTGAGGTCCATCTTCTATGTGGTCGACCTTTGGGTCTGTTACCACCGTATCTGTATAACATTGCTGTCTGTGGTGCCCTGTCTGCTGCCAATCGTGTTCCTTGGCCAAACCATTTGATCTGTTGTCTACCTTTAAGGTTCAGTATTGGTTCTGTGTCGATTATCCTCCTGATATCATAATTCCTAAGTTGATCAACACCGATCAACTGCTTCAAATACAGTGGAGGCCAAAATATTTAAGACTACCTAGTAAATCACTGATTTTTCGACAGTAGTATGGAATATTGCATTAACTACTAGTTCACGGCAGAATGATGACCCAATGATTGTTCTAGTTGGTCCTAAAATAGCAGTGGAATGGAAGATCAATTATGTACCTGGTGGTTCCAAACTTTTGGCCACCGCTCTATGATGAAACACATCCTGTTTTTTTTTTTTCACTCACTTAGTTCCAGACAATTATTACATTTACCAAGTCTACTAACTATTACGTTAACTGTTTCTGTCATTGATATTGTCTGAACTCCATTTCCAGGTAATTATTACTGTAACTATTTCTGACACTGGGTGCTATTGTGAAACAGTATTTTCCTGAGGAGAAAGGCCATTCTGACAGTGTATGATATTCCCCAGGAGTGTCTGTCTTGTTTAATCAATAATTCTTTATTGCATGTTTTTGTTCACTTTGTCCTGCCAGTCACACAGAGACCTTTACTGTCTTACGTCACTATTTCTTGCCAAGCTGTGTTGGCTTTTCACACATCATTTGATACTTCTGCCTCTACCACCTTGTATCTTCTCCACAAAAGGCAAATTGTTCTATTTCATCCCTTTTGTTAACCCACTGACTACTATGAACGCATGTTATGCGATCCACGACGTTTACCCCTGGTTACCACAATTGCACCCCTGGCAATCGTAACTCAGGACGCATGCCACCATGTCAAAACTTTTTTTTAAGACTCGCCGATGACTATTAAAACGAATGCAGATAAAACATAAACTACTTTGTGTCATCGCCAGAACTGAGTTTATCTGCAATGCCTCCACTGCTTTCTGTCTGAGAATTTTACAGGATGAGGTCATAATTTGTCTACAATGTGTCTTTCATACCACTGTCTAAAAACAACACTGATTTAAAAAAAAAAAGAATTGTGTGTGTGTGTGTGCGTGTGTGGGTGTTAAATAACTGGCCTCACTGAATGAACTCTAATATACTGAAGATTGGACATTAAAATGATATCACTAACTTCTAAGAGCTTCACTAAAATATAGATAGCATCTTAGGTATGTTACTATCGCCCATTTCAAGGTCACATTACACTACAGTCAATCATGACCTTAAAAGTAAGAAAATCCCTGTGTGCATTCAATAGAAACTTTAGTTGCATAATACCTACTGAAATATTTTCTTACTCTCTTGTAGAGATATTCCAATACCTACTGTGGAAATGATCAAAGCCAACACTCACAGCCAGAACTTACCAGATGCCATCTTTTAACTTGTATACTGGTTTCTCAAACACAACAGCAATTTAAGCCAATTCAGACCAGGCAAGACATGCAAGCTGAATGTGGAAACAGAAAATAGCATGGACAATAAAAAAAAAATGAACTTGCATAAACAGGTTTTTTTTTGTGTATCTTATTTCATAAAACAATGTGTGAATGAACAATTTTAAAGCCATTGACAACACTTCAGTTAAACCCAGAAAACAAAGATAACATTGCCACAAGCAACATCTGATCAATGGGAAGCTGTGGATGAACTTGAGAAACATGCCTGCACAATTATTGACTGAATCCAGACATAGATAGCAGCTACCAGGTGTTTTCCTTTTGTCCCAACTGCAACAGCATTTTTTTTTTAAAATTATTATTATTAATGCAGGCCACTGCATCTATGTAAACATGATTGGATGTTATCTAAATACACAAACTTTCAGAAACAACTGTCCAAGGTAAGGTAATTTAGATGGGTTGTCAGCAGGATTTAACAAAATACCTTAGCAAGACTATTCAGACATAGGATATAAGAACAAAGCAATCAATCATACATGACATTCATAACCAAGACAGAAGGCACAGCCTAAGAGATGGGCATGCTAAACAAAAACCCCACCAGGACCAACAGAAAGGACCCAGACAGTTTAGATATGATATCATACACAGTTAGGGACAATAAGCCAAATGTGCTGGCACAAAAACTTATTTGGGCCATTCAACTTGGCAAACATAAAACCATTCTATAATTATAACCACAACATTTTAGCAAGGTTGAACATGTCACATTCTCTTTCCCCACCAAGAATACGAGCAAACAAACACAGGGTTTGATCTCTTAAGGTATGTCATAGGCTGGTACAGTAGCAAAAGGAGTTGACAGCAGGAAGTGACTTATTAAGGTCCGACACACCCTGGTACAGTTGTATACTGGGTTGCCCTCTAAATATGCCATGTCATACTCACAGTAGAGTGGTATCCTGGGTTGCCCTCTAAAAGTACTGTCATACCCATGGTACAGTAGTATCCTGGGTTGCCCTCAAAAAGTACTGTCATACCCATGGTACAGTGGTATCCTGGGTTGCCCTCTAAAAGTACTGCCAAACCCATGGTACAGTGGTATCCTGGGTTGCCCTCTAAAAGTACTGTCAAACCCTTGGTAAAGTGGTATCCTGGGTTGCCCTCTAAAAGTACTGTCATACCCATAGTACAGTAGTATCCTGGGTTGCCCTCAAAAAGTACTGTCATACCCATGGTACAGTAGTATCCTGGGTTGCCCTCAAAAAGTACTGTCACACCCATAGTACAGCAGTATCATGGGTTGCCCTCTAAAAGTACTGTCATACCCATGGTACAGTGGTCTCCTGGGTTGCCCTCTAAAAGTACTGTCAAACCTATGGTACAGTGGTCTCCTGGGTTGCCCTCTAAAAGTACTGTCAAACCTATGGTACAGTAGTATCCTGGGTTGCCCTCTAAAAGTACTGTCATACCCATGGTACAGTGGTATCCTGGGTTGCCCTCTAAAAGTACTGTCAAACCCATGGTACAGTGGTATCTTGGGTTGACCTCTAAAAGTACTGTCATACCCATAGTACAGTAGTATCGTGGGTTGCCCTCAAAAAGTACTGTCATACCCATGGTACAGTGGTATCCTGAGTTTCCCTCTGTAGTAAGTCCTTTATTTTATCCCTGATAAATTATGTGTAATAGTAGGAATGACATAAGATCATGAATACAAATTAGATATTTAAATTTACAAGGGGCAGGCTGTGGCACGAGAAAATGTTGGCCAAAATGAACGAAGTGTTTAACCTGGGTGAAGTGAAAAGCTCAAAGATCACGAGCTTTGAGCAATACAAAATGTGGGCGAAAAAAAATTTATTTAATGCCCTAGAAAGATCTAGGAGTTTGTCTCGTCTGGGTCAAGGAACTGTGCGGGTGTGGAGTGGAGAAAGCATTGAATCACGTTATCAACAAAAGCGTGCATTCGATGTGTTTGTGAGTTTCACTGCCAAACCTGGCCTTCAGTTAGAACTGATGTACTCAGTCAGCGCTGAACATGTTTGTGTTCCCCATCAAGTAAGTTGTCATTTTAAGCTGCCTTTGTGTGAGTATTTATTCGTGCATTTCCTGGTAAGGTATAGTGATATTCGATAGACTGATGATCACGTAGACATATGTTATGCCTCACCATGTACTGGCCAAAGAATCAGCAAGTGATGAACAATAAATAATGACAATGCATTGTATCGTTGATATGATCCATTTTTCACCTGCTGAGTGTCAGTGCACAGTTAAGAAGTCTGCAAGGGACCAGAGCCAAGACTGAATGAAAAGAGAGTCACTGTACCCTCTAAAGCTAACTTGTCATGCTCGTGGTACAGTGGTATATAACTGGGTTGCTCTCTAAAGGTAACTTGTCTTATCCATGGTACAACAATAAAACTCAGTTAAGGTTTATCTATTCAGAAAACTTGTCACACTCATGGTACAGTGGTATAACAGGGTTTAAGAGTAGATGATGCCCTCTGAAAGTAACCTGTCATGCCCATGGTATACAGTGGTTTAACTGGACTGAGAGCAGAACCTGTCATGCGCGTGGTACAGTGGTATAACTGGGTTGCCCCCTAAAGGTGCCCTGTCATACCGATGGTATAGTTTGACTGAAGTGCTCTCTAAAGGTAAGCGGTCATACCAATGGTACAATGATAAAAGTAGGCTTATCAAGGCAATAAATAGCCATCTGTGCTGATCCAAGACCAGCTCTAGCTGATGGGCTATGCTGCTGACATCACCAAATCGGCTAATGATACGTTAACGCAGCGTTTCTAAAATCTTTTTCGTTGGGCGCACCAAAATTTTGCAGCACACCTACCCTTAAAGCAGTCTGAATACTTAGGAAAAGAAGAAAAAACAGTGCAAATTTAATGTCAGGCAGATTTTGAAAAATTCTTGATTATTGCCACGGCGCCACTGACATACGCTCGCAGCACCCAGTTTGAGAATCGCTGCGTTAACGTATTGCTAGTCCATTTTGGTGACGTCAGTAGCATGGCCCATCAGCTGGAGCCGTTCTTAGCTGATCTAACAGCAGTGAGGGAAGGCAAGGTAGAACACAGATCAACCATACTTCTTCCATATAGCTGCTCACTGGAATGCCAACACACGAGGAACAAGAAGCTAGTATTTTAAGAATTCTTCAGAAGCAGTGGTGGCTTGTGGACAGGCACAGCAGAACTGCAGCACCATCTTTGATTTTCACTTTATATTTCAACCACAAGTTGAAGAAATTAAAAGACCTTTACATAAGAGATAAGAAACAGAGCAAATGGGAACTATGCATGAAACTTACAGAACACAACACTCAATCATAAAAGAGAAACAAGCAACAGAACCAGTAGGGATGGTACACCCAGACATACAAAATAGAACAGCAAAAGAACTAGAAGGAGGAATACAACAGTGTCAAGAATAACACACCTAGACATAAAAGATGGGGGGGGGGGGGCAACAGAAGTAGAAATAAAGTATAAGTAGGAATACCATCAGCAAAGTAGAAGACAGAACACCCAGTCACATCAGAGAAGGAAAAGAACTAGAAAGAATCGTACAGGTGAGTAAGCCATGAAGACTCACTCACTGCAGAGAAGTGAAAGTCAATGAAATGAAGAATTCAAGCCATAAATAACTAACATCAATCTGGAATCAGCCAGCCAGCCTGACTCTGGCATAGCCTGGCACCAGACACAGCCTAGACTAGAGGAGAGGAGAGGAAAATTCCGATACAGAATCAATACTTTGCTTACAGTTCCTCCCTGGCCAAATCACAGGCAGTGGGTTATCATGAACTCCCCTAGGTGAGTTAGGCTACATTATCGACAGCTGACACACACAGCTCCCCCCCCCCCCCCCCAGATTTATCTGGTAGTGAGAGAGATTGGTGGGTCTGGATATGGCAGACTGGCTTTCTTTGTCAATTAAGCTTTCAAATATAAAGTCTTGAGCAAAGTTATTCAACCTTTCTCCACCCTTGGACTGGCTAAACAGAGGAAACTGTTTTGCAGACCATCTGACAAAGGCTGAAGTAAGAGCAAACTGGTGCATACAATATCTTATTATCATTGTGGCAATGTAGTGCCAGACACACACACCAGCTATATGATTTGGTAGACATTTTTACTGCATCACCATACATCTCTGCATCCACCGCTTTCAAGAACACTGGTCTAGATTAAAATGCCTACCGCTATAATAATTAATCGGGAGCTGCCATGGTCTAACAGCCTGCAGATTGAAAGGTCATAGGTTTGGGTCCCGATAGGGGCCATACTTTTTTTTTTTTTTTAATGACCTTGGCTCTTAGGTTGACACTGCCTTGAGTGGGTACCAGGTACAGACCTGGGAAATAAAGATAGCCAATGTAATGCTGACGACATCACCCACCAAGTGTCTATAAAATATAGGTCTAGCCCAATATGCCTAAGGGCGTGAAAAAGGGTCCTTTACTTTTACTTGTTATAATTAACAATCATAGCAACAGATTTTAATAACATAAATGGTAAATGACTCCATATCTGATCCATAAAGGCAGAAAAACATGTCGTAGTTGTACTTGAGCTATTTTACAAAAACCTGCTCTACAGGCTTTAAAAAATGCCTAGCATTAGTGAGTCAGCAATCAATGGTGACTCACACATGCCATTCACTACTCAGCAATGATGAAACCTTTGCTGAAACCAGACCAGCTCATGTGATCAATTAAAAGAAATGAACTGCTGTACCAAGTGTAAACTAAGGCCGGCTTTTGTTAAATACAAGCATTATGTACACCAGTTATTAGCCTGCAGAAGTGTATACTTTATATAATGATAAGGAGCTAGATTTCACTCATTTTTTATTATTATCTATGAAATGATGCGAATTATGAAGACAGTTTCTTCTAACACCAAGAATGGAATTCAGTGGACTCCTACAAAACAGCTTGAGGATCTG